TAGTCACTACCCACCAGCTCAGCGTTTAGGAGAATCATAGATCTAGCAGCATCCGACATATACATCGTTTTGTCCTTATTTATGGCTAAGCCTATTTTCGCAGATTCCCTTTCGATAGCTGCAAATACAGCTCTAACATCACGCTTGATATCAATTTCTGTTTCTAATTTTATATAGATATTTTATATATCTATATAATTTATATAATTTTTAATTATAAAATTAATTTTTTGAAGATTTATTTCTTTATAAAACATTGCTTCATAACAAGTCCTCAAGTTTTGCCGAAAATTGTTTTTTGAAAATTGTCTGAAAACTTTATTTAGTGCCTAACAACACATTAAAGGAAATGAGAATTACAATTAATAAAATCTAATTGTATGTATATGACAATAAATATTAAATTGTATGTGACAATAAATATTAAAAAAGAAATTGTTAAGTTTAACTGTTTCTAAAACAATCAGAGTATAACTTGTATGCAAAATATGCTATCACAGTTAGCATTTATATAATATTTATTAGGATATAACAGTAATTTATCAAATATTTTTTTTCCTAATTATAAACACCATTCTAATATTACTTAAAAATTAGTAATTATTTAAAAAATAAAATCTAATTTTACTTAGAAATTTAAAAGTACTTAACAGTTTTAGAGTCAACCATTTTTGTCAAGCAATATTTAAAAAAAGTTACCGTACCAATTAAAAAATAGTGCCCTTTCCTTTCTAATCTGAATTTCTGATCAGATAAAAAAAATTATTTTTATATAATCAGATTTCAAAGTGTTAAAAAAAATAACAGTATCTATGACATACATTGTAGAGAGTTTCTGTGAAGTTATGAATGTTCAGAAACATATTATTATTATTTTATTAGTCTAGAATATTTTATTTTCACATAGAAAGTAAATAACGAAAAAAAAAAATATATATTCATTAAGAGTAAAAAAATGAAATGAATATTATAGTAGTCAAAACACAAAAAAGTAACAAAATAATTACGTTATAACAGCAACCATTCAGACTAATTTTATTATTCATTAACGAATTAATAGCTATAATAACACTGTTTTCAAAAATACTGTATTCTAAATTTATTTATTGCTTAGTCCAGTTTATTTAGCTTGCTAGCTATTATTCTTAGGAATGAATGGAGAAGACTTTCACCTTTTTTTAGCAGAGCAATGTGGAAAATTCATTCCAATAATTAAGAAAAAGATTCAATAGGATTAGTATCTAGAAGTCTAGGTTTTATATAACCCAGGAAGCATGGGTGTGCAAACGATAAAAGTCTTCAAAACGGTAAAACTACAAATGAAAGAGAATGGCTTTTAAGTGTTAAAGATTTTTCAATCCATTTCCAAATGCTTTTTTGAATAATAACAGTTGACTGTTCACTTAGAAAGCTTGTGATCGTATTAACAATTTTATTTGATCAGAGGTCTAAATACATTCGAGATTCAACTTGTAATGTGTAAATGCCTGAATCTCTCAAAATTTTTGAAATATTACATAGATTCTCTTAGAAAATGAGACCATTACTCAGGAATTTATGGGAGGTATATAAGTAACACCCTATGTCACAAATTCACAAATCATATTGAATTATATAAACATTGTTACATTAATGTTTCGCCATTTAAGTGGCTCTATCCAGCACAACAAATTTTGACGATCCAATCAAATGCGCCTTGAGTCAATGTACAAACTATATAATTTCGTTTTTCCCTTGTGTTTGTTTCAATTTCAAAACGTTGTTTACTTTGTTCAGCAATTTTAATGTGTATTTTTTGATGATAACAATATTTTAAAAATAAATAAATATTAATATATTTACCTTAAGATCAAATAGTCAATTATTTGTATTTTTAATATTTTTAAATTAATATTCAAAATCACTAAGTAAGAACAGTTTATAACAGTGATTATATAGGTCCATTAATCACAATATCATTTTCTATAGTATGAATTATTATTATATATTAACTGAATATACATACTTATACAGTGTGCGCCTTCAGTAACTCATCCAAATAGTTGGTGTTCAACTTTTATCAAATAAACACATATGATATGAATATAAGAAAAACCACCATAAGATCAAAATAATTACATAATAATGTATTCAATTCATTCACCTAAGCCTCCAATGTTCAACTTACCTCAAATATACACACTGCAATAAGCAAAAGTCAAAATACTACTTAAAGTACCAAAATAGCAAGAAAGTACAAAGTAAACTTCCGCATATTACTCAATAAAACAGTCAATGCACAACTTTACTTAGAACCATGTTATCCAGAGTGTCATGGTTACGTCAAACTTAACATTTGCGTTATTATTTCAAATGCAAATTTAATAATTGAAAATGAGAACTTGAGAGATGTTATGAGAGAGAATGGGAGAGAGAAAAATTTTTATTTGAATTTGATCACGGTGTCGAGGACTTCGTAACTCATCGCGTTTGTCAAAACAGTGATCCTCAGTACTAAATGCTAAGTATTGTGCGTATTTAGAGTAAATATGTGTATTTTTATGTGGATATGTAAAAATATCTAAACAAATATAATCCCTTTTTAAATTTAGTTACAAGAAAAAAAATACCATAGTAATAAAGACAAGAAATTGACAATTGTGATATGACTCTCTCTATAACATTTTGATTATAATTAATTAGAGCATTCAATTGCTTATTCTTCATATGACTATCTACATTACATAGCCCTTAAATAGATATACTTAAATAAACAAACGTCACAATAACAACAAGGCCTTAACTTCATTTACTTAAGCAGTCAATGCTCAACTCAGCTTAAATATGTAAATTTATCGTGACAAAAATACGCACTAGCCTATTCTGTGCACGGACCTATTCTGTGCACTTTATAAACTTGTCAAAATTGACTGCTGTAAAGGTTTTGGTATTCTGTGACATAAATAAAAAGCTCTTTTCCTTGACAACTACAATACCTCAAATGCTGTTGACAACTATAAAAATATGCTGTTTTTAAGCATTTTTTATTATTTACATGCATGACAAATATTCTTAACTAAATATGCGCTCCTTACAAGCATTTTTTTATTGTGATTTGAATGCATGAAAAATGCTTTCGACAATTTAAAATATATGCTCTTCACAAGCATTTTTTACGAACAGTTACGAACAATTACGAACAGTTACGAACAGTTTTATATACAAAACACTTTACACCATAGTGTGGTGAGAAGCATTAGGTACTTGAGCTTTAAAATTTGTCAAGATGTGTCCTGAATACCAAAAAACTTTCTGCTTCATAAAAATCAAAAATTTTATTAAAGAATTTGACAAATTTGTTAAGTGCACAGAAAATGTTTATAAATATCGGTGAAATAGTTTTTAGATCCATTAAAAATAAATAAATACAAAAAATCACATTTCAAATTATATGTATCTATTTATAAATATCTACATATATATAAATAGCTAAACAGATTTTGTATAGTTACTTATTATTTATAATTTATATTGAATATAAATAAAAATTCATCCATATTATATTCCCATAACACTGCATATTGTCAATTTCTGTCATGAACTTTGCGGAAAGAAAAGACTTAAGCCACAAACTCATTCAATTTCTTCACCAGAAGACTTACAACACAAACTTCACACATTTTTATCATTGAAGGAAGAAAATTAATATTTATTACACAAACTTTTACACAATTTCCTTATGATTGTGTACTACACGCTAAACTCTTGACACAAGTAACTTGCTTTCCACTTATTGGGAAAAAACTTTCAACGCAAGCTTTATTTGTTGTTGTGAATGCAGAATTTTTGCAAATAACCCTGTATTTGCGGCATATCTGCATTGAAACGTACAAGAAGAAGAAGAAGCAAAACTTTCAAAAGTTAAGTTGGTGCTGGTACATTGTTGGTACACTCAACGAATTCAACGCCAAATCGCATACTTTATTTCGCTTGAATAAATGACTTTTATACATTTTTATTTTCTTTTTTTTTTTTTGTAATGTATTTCCTTTTTTTTCGCTTAATATATATAAGAATATATATTTATAAGCATATATATATATTCGATTTATATGTATTTTATTATATTAAGTTTATTTTTTTTTGTGATATAAGTTTATTGCTATGAAACAAACGCTTACGTTTTTTTTATTTATAATGTGTTTAGTTTTATTATTTTGTTTTTTTCTGTTTTTAGTTATCGTTATTGTTTTTGTACATTTTGTTGTTGTAATTGAATTAATGTACTTTACAAAAATTATTACAATAACCTTTTTGAGATGGATATGCGAAAAAAAAACTTTCTTTCTTTCGCTGAACTTAAGCTGAACTTCATATTTGATTTGTTGTAAGAAAAAAAAAATTTTTTTTCTCTGCCTTTTATGTGTTGTGTTTTAAGCATTTAAAGATTTAAATTAAATACCAAAATAAATTAGGCAAATATATTAATAAATCATAACAGAAGATAAAACTAAAACAAATTTAAGCAAAAACATATGGAAAAATACACAAAAAAAATAAAAATAAAAAATAAAAACAAATAAAAATGAGAGATGTGTGTAAAAAATATATTAAGAAAAGTAAAGAATTAAAAAATTATAACCAAAACATAACACAATGCAGAGGTGTTGGTTGCTATACTTGGCCATAAAGAAGAGGGGACCAGTTTAGCACGTAACGTAAACAAACCAATACTGCCTGGAACACAAGACGACAAGACTACGTACGTACGTACGTACGTACATCAGTCACCAAACTTGACTGGTGCACGCTTTTAACAAAACTTGCTGCAAACAACAGTTTTTGTTTATGTTTTTTGCCACTGTTGTTGTTGTTGCTGCTGCTGTTGCTGCTGCTGTTGTTGTAATTTGTGTTTATTAAACTTTTTGTTTTGTTTTGCTTTGATTTTCTTATTCAATTAAAAGCAAAATAAAGTAAATAATTCTTGCGCATTTGATAACAAAATTAAAACTTTTACTTACTTACGCAATATGCTGCTGCGTGTCTAATGTGCAACAAAGACGGATTATAGCGTACAATTGGCTTTTACAATATGCACTGTTGTTGTTGTTGTTGGTGCTGCTGCTGCTTTATTCGCTGTGTTTGTTGTTTTTGTTGTTGGTACTGTTTTGTACTGCAGTTGTGCATTAAATGTAGCTAATGCAAGACTTTTGGCACTTGTGACAAAGGTTTTCAATTGATTTTTTTTAATAATAATTTATTTAATTGGCACAGAAATTTTATTGTAAGAAGCAGGAAGCTTTTTTTTCATAGTAAAATAGAATTACTTCTTTTTTTTACACATATGCATTTGTAACATAAATTTGGCTAGGTGCGTCGTACGGCATTAACATAGAAAAATAACTCACAGTAATAAGTTTAAGTTTACACAATATTATTATTATTGTTATTTTAACACAATTAAAACATATTTTTTGTAATATTCGCAACCGTTTGCAATATTTTAGTTAATTGTCATTAACATTTGGCATTTAACGCGCTCTGGAGCCGCGCCGCACCACTGACATACACGAATTGTTAGCTTAGCTAGCACGAGAGCAAGGCACTCGACTCAGATTTTTCGACTGGGATTCAATATATTAAACGTACTAACGTACGGCGGCTTAGAGTAGATACAGTGTACGCCACTACGTACCCAATAAGTGCTGGTGCTGGTGCTGGGTATTGGTGGGAAGTGGTGGGATACACACAATGCTTCAATGCTCCAACAGCGTATCCAAACCAATCGAATCGAATTTTTTTTTTGTTTTTTCTGTTGTAGTCGATATACACAACACAATTCACTGCACCGTTGGAATTTTCTGCCAACAAACAATTTACAATACGAACAAAAAAAAAAATAAAAATATAATAAAATATGATACAACAGCAACAACTAAAACATAAAAGAAACACTCTCAAAAAAAAAGTTCGTGTTGCACAACAATCGAGCTATAGTTTGTTGTACGATTTGATGTGAACGCGCGGTATTGCGCGGTATATTTTTTTATATGATTTGTTAATAATTTTTATTTATTTTATTTTTTTTCATTTATTTTCTCGTTAAATATTAGCAATTTTTTTCTTTGTTTCTTGTCTTAGAAACTTTTTGCGCCAACAATTTTATTGTTTAAATTAAAAATTATATAAAAATTGTTCATTTATTATTGTTATTTGTTGCTTATTGTTGTTATTGTTGGCTTTAATGCTTGAATGCTGCTCGTTACCCTGACCCGTCGCCACTTCTGCGCTACCTAGCGGTGAGACGGTGCAGCAGTGGTTATAGCATCAGCGACACAACACTTTTTTCTCAAACACTTCCTCATCATTGAAACACAATTTATCAAACGTTATCATTGCTTAACAATTACACAAATGATTTCTGAACAATTTAATTATATTTGTTAATAACTTTTATTAATTTTTTATTTAAAAATACACTAGAATTTTCTAACAAATCGTGGGGAAATGTCTTCTTTGCACAAAAGGTACGAAAAACTTGTAGTCGAGAAACGTTGCGTAGTGGTCGAGTCACCAAAGATCTTTTCGTTTCGAATTGTCAAATTCGAATTTGTGTACATGTATTGTGGTTTGAACATGTGTTCGTATAATTGTGTGTGTGTGTTATATTAGTGGGAGAGCGCGCGATCAATAAAGCCATGTATGCTTGCTTACCTTTTGCAGGTAGCTATGCATTTGTGTAGGTGAGCGCTGCTCTCAATTGCTTTTTAAGGTTTCATCTTTGTGCCTGTTGCGCTTGTGTTTGCTGCAACATTTTTATCGGCATATGTTCGCTCACGTATACAAGTTCAGTGTTGTGCTTGTGTGCACCTGTGCGAAGGTATATGTTTTTTGTTGTTGGTGCACAGGTACATGTACTTATGAGTACCAGCAGATACAAACAAAAGATTTAAGCCAGCAACTTATAAACGCCATTTGACGTATTGACCAAGTAACTTAGACAGTAGCGGCTGAGTTCCACTGTAGAGTAAGGTTTCCATATTAAATTCATGTAATTATATCATTATTATAATATTATTTTTGTAATATATTATTATATTAATATTATATTATTATCATTGGAATATTATTATATTTATTATATTTTAATTATCAATGTAATTATTATGATATTATAGTATTATTATAATATTATTACTTATAATATAATATAAATTATTATTTATAATATTTAATAATATATTATAATAATATT